TGATTTACAAATAAAGAATCCTACTTCGCGGAATTTCATTTATCACGGTAGGGTCTAGAACCGATTAACCGCGATAAATGAGGGTTCACTGTATTCCTTAGAAGCAATGATGGCCATTTAGCTCACTTACTTTCTGGTCGCTTCATCAGGAAAGACCAATCACTAGAAAAGGGTAATGTACTTATTATGGTGAAGCAGAAGTTCAATGACAATGAGGGAAATTCTCAATGACATGAAATGACACACAAACATTCCAACAATCATAGATGTCACAAGACCAGGTAACAACTAGGCAACTTGTATACAAGTTCATGGGCCTCAGACAACTTAAAGGTAACCAATGACGCTCTCTACCTAGCTGACCATTCAGGGATTGTCAGTTCTGACTCCAAGAAAAAAAGAGACACTTGCCAGAATCCCTTACTTGCTGGTCCTTGGCCTGCTTCCATTTGACAAGTTACACTGCATCAGCAAATTCACAGAATAAGGAATTAAAAAAACAACAGAATTTCCACCAAAACTTTTTTCAGCCCCTAGTTCTGACCAGTTTAGAAATGGTTCAGTAACCACTGTCACACGCAAGGTTCAGGTACACATCACATAGCAACCCTATTGGTTAATCATGGTATTTTGACCAGAATAGATAGCAAACAGGAGATTGATAACCCAGTGGTTTTGCAATGAATAGGCTGCTTCTTCAAGATCTGCAGTTCAAACCCACTAGTCTTCTTAAGGGAGAAAGATGAGGCTTGCTCTCATAAATATTGACAGTCTCAGAAACCATAAAGGGTAGTTTTAATTTGTCCTGAAGAGTCACTATGAGTTTTAATCGACTTAATGGCAGTGGGCTTGATTTTCTGGTTTAAGTAACAAAAGGCTATGACCCATTCAAACATGGCAGTCAACCACGCGGCTCTCCAGAGTTCTGCCAGTAATCCACTCTTCCTACTCAGGTTCCTGAAACTTTCAGGAGGAAGGACTGTGTCACAACTTGGGAGGAGCAGCATGATTGGCAGGGCTATGGAGAGCAGGACACAGCTATTTGTTTCCCAATCGGGTCAAAAACTACAAGCGAAGGTAGGGTTGCTCTGCAACATTTACTCGGCCCTTTTTCACAATGGCAATGACAGGACAGTTTTGAACTGGTTTGAAGTCCAATCTTTACTTCATCACAGTCCAGACAAAGAGGTACGTGTCAGCTCAGGGTCCGAGAAAGGTCTCTCACACAAATCATGTCAGAGAAGACTGCTTACCTTCCAGATACTGAAGTCGTGCAGTGTCATCTTTAATGCTCACCATGTCACACTTATATCAAGAAGGTGGCTGCTTCCTACAGGTGCTTCAAGGAAGGGGAAGTGGGAATAAAGAAAGCTCCTACCTGAAGCTCCTGTCTCCCCTTCAAGGGAGAGGAGCAGATTAAATAAAGGGAGACTGTAAAGCATTTCCATTGATTTCTAACATTATATTTACATCAGAGGCTGTGGTCATACAATGGGTTACATGTTGGCCTGCTACCCATGAGGTTAGCAATTCTAAATCACGAGCCATTCTGAGAGAAAGATGGGGTTTTCTATTCCTATAAAGAGTTGCAGTCTCGGAAACCGCCCTGGGCAGTACTATGGAGTCACTTTGAGTCAGAAATGACTGGATGGGAGTGGTATTAAGATTAGTTTATGTTTCTCCCTTCCTCTCATGGCGGTTCTTCAATTCTTTCTTTTTCATATATATGGCCTCCATTAGGCTGCAAATTCCTTGAGGTGGGGCTCACAGTCTAGTTATTTATTTTTGTGACCCAAGGCCACAACAAGCCTGACACATAGCAATCACTCAATACATGTTTACTAAATGAACAGTGCATAGGGTATAGCAAAAAAGAAATAAAGGGTATTTTGATCAAATCTGGCAGAATCAGCTAGAGATAAAATCATAAATATTAAAAACAAAAAATCCTCAAGGCAAATAATCACTTGCTCTGAAACTATTTTAAACTAAAAATAGCTTTAAGGTATTTTTTAAATGTAGCATTCTTCTATGCTTTAGGCTTGAGTGCAATTTAAACACTTTGGTGTTTCATTCCACTTTCTCTAAGAATTCCATTCTCTTGTCTAAAAGAAGTTATTAGGTGGGCTTCAAATTTGCTCTTTCACCTTTAAAACTGCCTTTTGATCCTGAATCAGTCATAGTTGAGCTAACAGAAAAGCACTTGAAGTTTGTGTTGATGATACTGCTCATGAAATCTCTGTATTGAAGAAAAAGAAAAAAACTCACAGTGGGTTTTTTTATAAGCAGCAGTACCTCTTTACTGCAGCGGCACTCATCTGGGCTTCACTAAGCCATTCAGAAGCCACAAACAGAACAGGCAGGCTTCCTCAGGCTACTTCGAGAACAGAGAAGGTTCCAATCAAAAAAACAATTGGCTTCTCAGAAAGATTTCCCTTACAGAAAAGGACCGACAGTAGGTGGGTGGCACAGTAGGTTAACGACTGAACTGCCCACGGCAAAGTCAGCAGTTTGAATCCACTAGCTGCTCTGAAGGGGAAAGATGAGGCTGTCTACTTCTGTAAAGATTTAAAGTCTCAGAAGCTCAAAGGAGTTCAGTTTTTTCCTATAGGGTTGATACAAATCAGTATCAACTCAATGGCAATGAGCATCAGGCACTATTGAACGAATTAATAGAAAAGGAAAGTCCTCCCAAAGGTTTTCCAGAAGCAGAAGACACTGGTCTTCAACATGATGCTTCCGAGAGTTATGCTAGGAAACTTCAAAGACCAAACTCACTGACATCGTCGGTGCCTACTCATAGTGACCCTATAGGACAGTATAGAACTGCCCCGTGAGTTTCCCAGACTGTAACTCTTTATGGGAGTAGAACACCCCCTTTCTTCGATGCCAGTCAACTAATGGTTTTCAAATCTCAAGAATAAAAGTTGAATGAAACATGGGAACATTCTACATATTTAAAAAGTCTCAAACGGGCAAATTCTAATTATTGTTAACTCTCTGGGAACATAAAGGGCTTATCTAATAATACTTTCTTGAACACACATATCTGACTTATAAAATATGCTTTAAGGATCACATCATACACCAAACCAGAGAACTTTCCAGTCTCTGCATGATTTGATATTGTTGAGTATAAAATAAGTCACTGGTAAGATGCGTTTATTCTGTGACAGTCTATTTTCAGACATGCCTCTTTTCATTTCACCAAGTCCTAAAAGTCTACCTAGGATTCTGTTAATTATTATTATGAAAATGATAATAATGTTGTAGCCAGATTACTGTTATTGCCATGGCTAAAATAAGTCCCCATAATGCAGTCCACCTCTTTTTCATTCGCGGAAAGGTAAGCGTTCTTAGAACCCCAACAAATAAACGATAAGTTGTTCTGAACCGTTTTGAGATTCTAGGGTTGGTAGTTTCCACTTCCATATTCTAAAAAAAAATCACGCAGCCCCTAAGCCATAGGTAGCACCTCCAGCAACTGTAAATAAGTCCCTATCAAGGGTTGTTTGCATCTGCACATTAGCCATGTTACTGTACATTAGCCATGTTAAATGAGTTCTTCCTAACAATGGGAGCAATCGAGGCCTCTCTAGCGTTTGGCCATTCTATAGGGCAGTGTCTCCGCTGCTGCACAGGGGCGGGGCGGGGCGGCAACCGGCAGGACAAGGGCTTTACTAGCTCTGGAATGATCAGGAAGTTTATATCACCAACTCTGCAATTGCTTAATTAGTCAAGTCTTGGGCGAGCCCCAGGCTCTTCCTGGTCGCTAGGCTTAGCCAGGGAAACAGCCCTTATTCGGGTCCCACTTCCAGCAGGCAGTAGACTCGCCCCAGCAGGCTAAGACGTGCCAAAGTTACCCCCCACCCCCCAGGTAAATGCAAACGCCGAGACGGCGGCACCATCCCTTCCCTCCTTTTGCTTTGCTCCCCAGTCCCTGAAGTCGCCACCGCCCACTTTCTAGCTGGACAAACAGCAGCCCGGATTTCAGGACCAGCACTCACCCACGTCTTGCTCGAAGGGGTTAGCACTAAACAGAGGCATCTCGCAGGCGCCCAAGCCCCAGTCCCTGCGGTCTGGCTCAAGTTCGGCAGCGCCTCCTGTCCCAGTGACCCGCGGCCGCGGCTTCCTAGACAGCTCCGGCCCGGCCGCCTTCTCTACACTTCCCGCCACTACCCCTGCCCTGCTCCCGCCTGACGGGCGGGCCGTCGGTCCACTCCCTGCTTCGGGATTCTCCTTCTGCGCAGAGGCTCTGGAGACCGCAGGCATCTTTCTATGGCTCCAATTGTCGCCACCCGTCAGGAGGAGACGGCAACCCCAGTCTCAGCACCTCCCGGGGGTTAGGCGTTCGCTTTGGCCACCCTCCCATTGTTAGGACCCCGATGAGCCACGGAGCGGGGACCTTCGGGGCCGGAAGTTGTCGCTCCTGGACCTGGGCGACGCCGGAGGCCCGGAAGCTGCAGTGCCAGCGGCAGTGCGGTAGGGGGCGTGGTCGCCTGAGATTTTCCTGGTCTGGTTCTTCCCGTTATATTAAGGAGGCTTGGTCGCTCAGTGGTTAAACCCTGTGCTGCCAACGGAAAGGCCTGCAGGTTCTGCAGGAGAAAGATGTGGCATTCGGCTTCCATAAGGATTGCAGCTTCGGGAACAGTAGGATTTCTACTATAAGTAGAAATGAACTCCACGACGTGGGTTTGGTGTTTGGGGTCTCTTAGTTAATTTCTCATAGTAACCCTATAGAACAGGGTAGAACTGTCCCCTCTGGGTTTCCAAGACTGTAACTCTTTACAAAAGTAGAAAGCCGCCTCTTTCTCCTGCAAGGCTGCTGGTGGTTTCAAACGGCTGACCTTGTGATTAGCAGTCCAACCTACTAAGCCACTCTAGGGTCATTATAAGTGAGAACGCCTCCATCTTTCACAGTGAGTTTTGGGGTTTTAGGTTTTTTTCCTTCCTGATTTGCGGAAATTCAAAGTGCCTCACAAACACCCCTGCGACTGCTTCTGTGCCTGCTGCTATAGAAACTGAACTACCATCAGAGAGGTAGCTTTGCGTCTGCAAAGGGCCTGGATGGGTTCTAGGTCCCATGTGGTATTGTTTCCTGATCTCTGCTCTCACTTCACCCCCATAGGAAGTGGTGGTTGTGGAGACTCCTAGTGCAGGAGTAGAGAATATATTTAACAAGCTTCTTCTAGCCAAAATCTCTACCTTCAACCAACCGGCCTTTTCCTGCATTAGTCTGGTAAGAAGGTGGGAGAAAATACTGTTAGGCTTCGTCTGTGAGTCATTGAGAGCAGGATTCCCTGTAGTGCCATTTGCTGTGAATAAAATGAGCCCCTTGAAATCAGGAGAGGTCTCACGAGCAGCAAGAGGCAGAAGAAGAGCTTGTCCTTTCAACCTGAGATCCCTGTGCAGTGAACCTTTGTCCAGATGATAGCCACAACCTCTGAGAACCAGGAGCCAAAGCATAGAACAGTGATGGACGAGTGCTTTTATGCAGGAGGCTGGCTTGTAGAGGGGGTGGGGTGCCTTTGGGCACTTAATTCAGGAAGCTGGGCTCACTGACCCAAGGAAGTGAAGGTGTGTACCTTCAGGCTGAGGTTTATGGAAGTGGGGTGCTTCTGGGCCTTTGATTGAAGGAGCTGAATTTGCTGGCCCTAGGTACTCAGCTGAATGCCTTCAGGTTGAGGATTATAACAAAGTGGTATGCACTCTGGGCACTGACAGCAAATTTGACAGGATTTTGTACATGTCCTGATGTACTACCCTTGGCATTTCTCACTGACATGTTTCCTTTGCTTATCCCACTTCCTTTGAGTTTAAGAATATCTAAGCGTAATTGGAATGAAGGTGGCCTTATACCATTGCTACATGTTTTTTGTGGCATGTGCTAGTCTTGCAGATGAATGTTACTGAAAGTTTTACCATACCCCTAACATTTCTTTTTTGTGTAAATAGTATCCAGTTAGCTAAGTGTTTAATCTGTACAAGTCAACAATTCATGTATTATGGTCTAAAAAGCTGGCCTATGTATGTATAATTTTCTCACTAGTTTTTAAATTTTACACCATTGGTTACAATAATGAAAATAGAATTGCCTTATGCACCATGGGGGTGATTTATAAAGTTCTCTATCATAAAATACTATTGCTGTCTCTTAAGTGAACCAGAGGCATTGTATAAACCATAGATATATGAAGAGATTTGGAACACAACCATAAGTCTAACCCTAATCTAAGAACAATGAGTTCTTATGGCCCTACTCAAGATTCATTTTCATGGAGAGATAACTGCAGATATGGGTGCTATAGCAAATTGTGGTGAATAAATCAGATGATGCTATCAGTAGAAATAGTGTCTGGGGTCTTAAAAGTTATCTTTAAACAAGGAGCCATCTAAGTAAGGTGTCAACTAAGTCCACATGGAAGAAGCACCCCAGCCTGTGTGACTCAAGGATTGTAAATAATTAAATCCAAATCCAGAAGAGGGAATGGTACCAGAGCTTAAATTCTGAGCAGGGTTGCAGAAAGCTATGGATGACAGTGGAAGCCCAAAATCTATTTGCAGGGTTGACATGTGGATTATGCCTCCAGTGAAGTCCTCTGCCCATAGTCCAGAGATATAAATAGACATGTTATCAGACAGAGAAAATTATAAAGTCGATTATGGCAGATAGTGTTTTGTTAACACGGTGCAACTTAACATTTGATCTCCCCTTTGACCCATTTTAAAGTTATCCCAGTTTTTAATATTTTCTGCTTTCGTTTTGATTGTGGTTTCTTCTGTTTTATTTTGTCATTGTTGAGGGTTTGTTTTCCCCTTTGTTTTTTGTTTTTGTATGATTTTCTGTATATGAAATCCAAGATAGGTAAATTATAGAAGTAGTAACTGGATTAATAATTACCTAGGGGCATGGCAGGGGAGGTTGGGGGGAAATGGAGAGCTAGCAGCAATTAATTTGAAAAATAAAAATGTTCTGAAATTGATTGTAGTGATGATTGCATAACTCTTTTGGATATGATTGAACTATTAAATTGTATGATATAGGAATTATATGACAATAAGATGATTTTAAAACAAGAACTTATCATTACTTGGCAATTTTTTAAAAAATACTTCAAGGTCAATGAGTACCCCTAGGGATTTAATAAAATAAAAATGACATTATGATCCTAATGCATATAAGGGTCACAACTGAAGTTCCCACAGGAATCAAACTGGAATTTAAATGAATGTACAAGTGCAAGCATCTTTCTTGTCAGTTTTCCACAATGCACTGTGGAAATGTCTCTCAATCTCCTTTGGGAAAGATGGGAAGAATGACTGCTGTACATATTTACTGGGCCATTGTAGGATTGTTTGTTTGTTTTTCTACTCACTAAGTTCCAGCCTCTTCAAATACTGGGCTCTGGGTCCTAGAACTGGCTTGGGTTTGGATGAATGAGAAATCTGTATATCCATTGTGACAGTTAACATATGGCACCACTCTTGTCTTCTCCCAACCTTTGATGAGTGGGCATGAGGAGAAGTTACAGGTGAAATAAGGCCATTCTGGCTGCCCATCTGTTTGAGCTTCTAGGAATACCCTCGTCTATGAATTATGCAATGATATCACGTGCTTCATGTCCTTTTCTGAGTCTGGCCTGAACTTTTGGCAGCTCCCTGCAAATATATTCCTGCGATCTTTGTTCCATGAATCATTGCTGATGTCAGATAGTTATTGGCTCAAAGCAAAGAATACCAGAAATATGTTTACTTTAGTTTAGGGGGTGGGGATTTGTTTTGTTTTACCATGGCAAGGTATTTGACTGTGTGAATCAAAACAAACTATGGATAGTATTGAGAAGAATGGGAATTCCAGTGCTCATGCAGAGCTAGTACATTGATCAAGAAGCAGTTGTGCAAACAGAACAAGGGAATACTGCAAGCTTTCAAATCAGGAAAGGTGTGTGTCAGAGTTGTATGCTTTCACTATACTTATTCAATCTGTATGCTGAACAAATCATCAGAGAAGTTGGACTATATGAAAAAGATTGTGGCATCACGATTGGAGGAAGGCTTATTAATAACATGAGCTTGCTTGCTGAAAGTGAGGAGAACTTGAAGCACTTGCTGATGAAGATCATGGAGTGCAGCCTTCACGATGGATGACAACTCAATGTAAAGATGACCCAAATTCTCACAAGTAGACCAATAGGCAACATCATAAGTGGAGAAAAGGTTAAAGTTGTCAAGGATTTAATCTTGCTTGAATCCACAATCAATGCTCATGGAAGCAGCAGTCAAGAAACCAAAATATGAGTTGCAATAGGTAAATCTGGTACACAAGACTTCTTTAGAGTATTAAAAAGCAAGGATGTTTCTTTGAGGACAAAGGTATGCCTGACTCAAGCCATGGTATTTTCTATTGCTTTGTATGCATATGAAAGTTGGATTGAATAAGCAAAACGGAAGAAAAACAGATGCATTTGAATTGTGGTGCTGGAGAAGAATATTGAAAGTACCATGGACTCCTAAAAGGACAAACAAATCTGTTTTGAAAGAAGTATTGCCAGAGTGCTCTTTAGAGGCAGGGGTGGCAAGGCTTTGTTTCACATACTCTGGACATGTTGTTAGGAGGGACCAGTCCCTGGAGAAAGACATCAAGCGTGGTAAAGTGGAGGAGCAGTGATTAAAGAGGATGGTCCTCAATCAGATGGATTGAGACAGTGGCAGCAACAATGGGGTCAGACATAAGAACAATTGTGAGGATGACACAGGACAGGACAGTGTTTCATTCTCTTGTGCATAGGGTCACTATGGGGCCGACCCAGCTCAAGGGCACCTAACAACAACAATCATGCATAGCATCCAATGGGTCAAGGCTCCCTCCTCATTCAGGCTTGGTTGTGACTTAATGTTACTGTGTCCACCTTGCCTCTGATGGTTGTGTTGCCACTTGGTCTCTGTGACTTTGGTATCTTGTCATCCAGTTCCACAGCAGCCTTAGCAACCATCAACGCTGATCTACCCACAGCCAAGACTGAGCTGCTCAATAGTGCTAGTGCTCCCCTTAGAAAAGCCTGCCTTTTGCTACAGTGGGGGAAATCTCTGGGGACAGTCAGCTGATGGGTTC